ATACCAAGTACAGAGTGACCAGAAGGTACCACCAGAGTGGTACCACCTGGACTTTGGAAACTTTGTAAAGTATCAGGCACTGCCCCAGTGGGAAATTGACCTGTGAATATGGTTTGCCCTACCACTATTGTGAATGATGGCTCCATCCTAAAGAGGAGATCATCGAATTGCAATTACAGAGTCTTTATATCTCAGGGTTTGTTTTATTTTTGTTTTCTGTTTTTTATATAGAGCACATTTTGCACAAAAATTGAGTTGGTGTATATAGTATGGTCGTTATGAATTAATATTCATATGTTCCTTGAATTTAGAAACTGTTTTGTTTCCCCCCATACCACTTAGCATATGAAGGAGAGCTCAGTATAGCCCATTTTCTAGTATTGGTGAATTTATGACTTTTCCTAAGCTTCACCTGTCTCATCTATAGTATGAGAATAATATACTAGTACTTCAGAGGTGCTGAGGGTTTCATGGTAATGTATATAAAATATTCATAACACAACATATACTTTGTAGTATGTGCTCAGTACATGGTAGCTGAAATTATTACATAAGGCAGTAAATAACTTTCCTGGGAACTTGGCTCTTTTTTGCTCTGTTATCTGTGAAATGGGACATTAGTAGTGACAGTATGCCGAAGGACTAACCAAGGAATTACATGCTATGTTGGGACTTCATCTGTACTACTGCACAGTCTATTTTTTTAAAGAATTATTTTATTTAACTTTATTATTATTTTTTAGTTTGATCAGAGAGAGAGTAAGAAAGCAAGCCTACAGGTGTGAGACTCCAACCACAGACAGCCATGTGAGAGTCTAGCGCCTTTAACCACCATGCCAACCTGCTGGCCCCTGCACATCTATTTTTAAGAAAGTATTGTGAGAAAAAAGCAAATAAGTTTTTTTCATGCTCAGATTAATAAATTACATATTATTAGAGAAAGGCTAGATTAATATTATATTCAGAAATATCTTTAGATTATTTTTACATTTGCTTTTTGCCTTACTAGCTTGGAAAAAAAATATACTGCCAACATTTTTAAAGGTAAGAGTCCAACTAATTGACACTGGCTTTTTTAATTAATTAATTAATTTTTTTTTTCATTACATGACTCGAGACCAGCAGGTGGTGTGGTAGTTAAGGCGCTAGACACTCCCACATGCCTGACCATGGTTCAAGTCCTGGACCTGGTGGCTTGCGCACTCACTCTCTCTTTCTCTCTGTGTGTTTCTCTGGTCAAATTTAAAAATAAGTAAAAATGAACAAATAAAATAAATATTTTTTTTTTAAAGAAATACACAGCTCAAAGATAAAAGTATAAAAATACAGTAAATGTTCCTCACCTTTGACCTCTAAACTGTTAGGTCCCACTGTCTTTCTCTGCCGAGAATGGAGACAGCCACTATTATTAGCTTCTCCAGTATCCTTTGAAAAAAGTTGATGGTTATTTGGCAGACATAAAATTTTTCCCCCAAATGCTGCATCTATTATATTCTGTATGTCTAGGTTTTTTTGGAGCTATTTCCAGACTTTGTCCTTTTCTACCGTGGTCTAGTCAGTTAAATACCATACCACAGTGTTTTAATATCCAGTAGTAGGAGTCTTCCCTTGTTGCTTTTCTTCTTTGTTAGCCTTTTTGAGAGATTTTTGCTATAGAGTGCGTATGCTTGCTGCAGAGAGAGACAGAGTGCAAGAAATCACCCCTCAGGGGGGATGGCCAAGCTGCAATCCCTTCTCCTCTGTTCTCCTCTCTGGATTTTGGGCATACCTGCACATTCGCCCTGTGTGACTTTAAGTTGTCAGGTCCAGTACCTGGATCACCTATGTGGGAGTCCAGTGACGTAACCATTAGGCCATCTTCTGGTCCTTCATTAGTCTTTTTCATTTAAAGGTTGGGAGCACTATGTTTAGTTTCTTTAAAAACAACAGCAAAAGAAAAAAGCCATTTAGTTATCATTTTCACCAGGATTTGGGCTAGGTTTATTTCGATTCCTCTTAAGTTTTCTAGTCCTTTAATATTTCCTTCTGTTCTTTGTAAGTGATTTTTTTCTTTTTTAATTTTTCATATTCTTGAACAGTTGTTTAAAATCACATATTCTTTAAGTATTTTTCTTTTTAATACAAGGCATAGACGATACACAGTACACATTTCATGGACATGTGGAGTCAATATATATTATCCTAGATATTATTGATTCAAGTTTTCAAAATAAATTTTTTTTCATAGTCATAAAACTTTTTTTTATAGGGTACAGGAGCTGCAAGTTTTGATGAATTTGGCAATTCTAAGTACCAAAATCGGAGAACAATGAGTAGTTCTGATCGGGCAATGATGAATGCATTCAAGGAAATCACTACCATGGCAGACAGAATCAACCTCCCTCGAAATATAATTGTAAGCTTCTGTTTACCTTCTTTAAGCCATTCTGGCATTGACTTAGCATAATTTAATGAACACAAGGAATTTTGATACTGCAATTAATTAAGTGGCCTACAGTTAATTAAACTTGGTTTCTCTGCTTTGAAGGATCGAACAAATAATTTATTCAAGCAAGTATATGAACAGAAGAGTCTGAAAGGAAGAGCTAATGATGCCATAGCTTCTGCTTGTCTCTATATTGCCTGTAGACAAGAAGGGGTTCCTAGGACATTTAAAGGTAAGAGATAAAGGTATCATCTATTTTGGGACTGGCAGGTGGCATGGTGGTTTAAAGGCTGTGGGCTCCCGCATGTCCGACTGTGGCTCGAGTCCTGGACCTGGTGGCTTGCTTTCTCAATTTTTCTGTCTGTCACTCTTTCTCACACTCTGATCAAATTAAAATAAATAAATAAATAAAATTTAAGTTAAATAAAATAATTCTTTAAAAAAAAAAGGTATATATATCACCTTCATCATATAAAAGTAAGAGAACAAAGTCAGACAACTTCGATGCTTAGAAGCCACATCATGTCTTTGGTGTTACGTACAGTAACCCATGTGAACATCATTTCCCAGTGCCTGTCTGCATTGTTTCTTGGCAGCAATTCATACTGTGAATTTACTGACTGTGTTCTTTTCAAGCTGTTTTCTCATATAGGCTTTTTTTTTTTTTTTTCCAAAGAGATTTTTGCTAGAGGGTGTGTGCACTTGCCAGAGAGACAGAGAGAGATGGAAAGCAAGAAATCATCCCACAGAGGGGATAGCCACACTGTAATCCCTTCTCCACTGTCCTCTCAGGATTTTGGGTACCCACACACATGTGCTTGGTGTGAGTTTTAAGTCACTCCGTCTGAAACTTGAACCACAGTTGACCATGTGGGAAGTCCAGTACGTAACCATTATGCCATCTGCTGGTCCCCCCATGTAGTCATTTTAATCCATATAAGCCCACTGTGTTCTTGCTAGTAAGATCTTTTTTTCATGGTTTTTAATCCCAGAGTGCATGTGCCTAAGAAAGAGGGTGAGGGAATCTCCTCTCCCCCCAAACAGGGCCTGGTCATGCTATAGTCCTTTCTGTTTAATTTCTACATCCTGTCAGGATCCTGGACTGCATACCCAGCATGTGGGCTCTGGGCCAGGATCCAAATTGAGGCCAGCCATGTAAAATCTGAATCTGGCCACCTCTGCACAGCACTGAGCCACCCACTAGTAAGATCTTTCAACTCACAATTTTGTGAGTTGAAATGCACCATTGTAAGCCACCATGGGCTGTTTGTAATATCTTCCACTTGATGCATGAATACAGTGTCCAGGTGACGGTGGGCAGCTTTAGAAAACATCAGTGAAATTTTTTATTATGTGGCAGTGTTTGCACTTCCACTTAAGTTGGAGGTTTTGAGAAAACTGGTATTTTTCATCTAGTTCAGTTACCCATGAATACATGACAATCTATTCACAGTGTTGTAATGATATTCAGACTGACATTCACTGCTAAAGCTCTGTTTACCTGAAGATGATACTTACCCTTCATTCATCTGGTGAATATTTATTTATTTTTATTCTTTTTAATTACTAAATATTTTCAAAGTTTATTCATGAAGTATTCTTCAAATGTTCCCCCACAAAACTACTTAAAAAGAATGTTTTGAACTATATTGATGAAGCACAGCAACAACATGAAAACAAAGAATCTTCCCTTCTTTCAGGAGAAATGTTTCAGTGTGAAATTATCTTTAACACCTTTGCTGTCAATTCTGGGTAAAACAAGATGGCAGCTTCCTTTCTTGTTCAATGATCCCCTTGCCCTGATCTTGTTCTGGTGGTGTCCCTCCTGTGTATAGCACCACAGTCTCTGTGGCAGGAGCCTTGAAAGGTCTGCCTTCCTGTTTCCCTATCTGCCGTCTGATTTCTTCAGTTCCTTGCGCACCTTCTCATAGCAAAAGTCACAAAGTACATCATTTCTGTTTCAGACGACCACATTCAGGACACATGTCTATATTGTTCTTAACTTTTATAAGCTTCTGAGGATTTCTTCTCCTCCACCAGTGAACTTCAATGCTGCATCTGTCTTGGGGATCTACCATCCAAAAGATACAGTCCAAAAGGCTGGAATTCTCCTCACTTTGACTGGTAGCATTTTCTGGTTCTGTAAATATGGCTGAACCCTCAACTGGTCCCCAACGGAGGACTAGGGAAGCCTAGCCGGCTCTGCTGAAGCGTCTGCTGCAGTCCTTCTCTACAGTTCATAGCAGCCCCCTAGCACCATCATGGCTGGTGTCATCTTTCTCCTTAGATGGCACCCACTGGATATTTACTTACTTATTAAATACTATTATAATATTTATTACTTTTTTGGGGATTTTTTTTTTTCTTGCTATAAGGCATGTACACTTGCCAGAGAGACAGAGGGACAGAAAGTGAGAAATCACCCCCCCCAGGGGGAATGGCAATGCCGCAGTCCCTTCTCCACTCTCCTCTCGGGATCTTTAGCATGCCTGCACACATGCCCGGCTTGAGTTTAAGCCACCAGGTCCAGGACTCAAACCACGGATGACTACCTGGGAGTTTAGCAACATAGCCATTACGCCAACTGCTGGTCCCAAATTTATTTATTAAAGTTTATTCATGTAATTTGAAAGTAAGATGAGCACTTTAAGCAGGGTCTCCTGCTGTAATGTCTCCCCACCCCAACTTGTCCTAGCTAGTCAGAGTGACAGACAGGCACACCAGGAACTGGTCGATGCAGGAACTGAATCCCAATCTTCCATATGGCTTCCAGTAGTGCACAGAGCATTGCTATTGCTATGTCACCATTTCTGGGCCCAGTGAACTTTTTTTTTTTTTTTTTTTACATGTCGTCTTATATCAGAGTGAACAGGCAGTGATCTTTATCGTCTTTATTGTTGTTAATTATTGCTAAAACAGGCTTTTGTTTATTTGTTTGGAAAATACTTGGTGGTCGAATGCTTAGGGAAAACAAGGTTAAATTCTTTTTGTCTGTTAGCTATAACTTATAATCGTAGGAGTTACAGATAAATAAGCTACTGTAGCATAAGAGGCTTTTTTTTTTTTTTTTTTTTAGTTTCCTATAGGCACATGTGCTCACTGACATGTGTCAGAGATGGAGGGAAGTGAGAAATGACCCTCCGGTGGCTATAGCTATGCTGTAATCCCTTCATTCACCTCTGGGGATTGTGGGTATGCACACACATATATACCTGGTGAAGCCTCCGGTCTGGGACTTGAACAGGTCCATAAGAGACATTCTTAAGTTTGAATATTTTCTTTCATTTCCTTGATATCTTCCTACTACTAATATAGAAATATCAAAGATGTTTTGATTAGCTGATACTTGCATAAATTGAAACTTCAAAAAACCTAGTATTTTAAAAGAATAAGATAATAAATTTTACTTTAAAATGTGATGAACATTTAAGTTAACTGAGGTTTTAAATTAGCTCTACCCTATTTGAGGTATCTCTGAGAGGATTAAAGTTTTTATCTTTAAGGCATGATTGAAATATTTGCAATTAGAATGTTTTATTTTTATAATCAGAAGTAAGAAATTAAGAAAATTATATGGCTTATGTGGACTTATTTAACTTTTTTCTTCCAGAAATATGTGCCGTATCACGAATTTCAAAGAAAGAAATTGGTCGATGTTTTAAGCTTATTTTGAAAGCTTTAGAAACCAGTGTGGATTTGATAACAACTGGGGACTTCATGTCCAGGTTCTGTTCCAACCTGTGTCTTCCTAAACAAGTTCAGATGGCAGCTACACATATTGCCCGCAAAGCTGTGGAGCTGGACTTGGTTCCTGGAAGGAGCCCCATCTCTGTGGCGGCAGCAGCTATTTACATGGCCTCCCAGGCATCAGCTGAGAAGAGGACCCAAAAAGGTAGGGTTCTTCATCAAGAACAATAGTGATGAAATTGTGAGGGTTGTAGTGTCTGCTTGATTTTCTATTTTAAGTATAAAGCAGGTAAATATCCAGAACCCACACTTAAAATGTAGTTTGTTGGTATATTTATGAAAATATAATACTTTTTTTCTTCCTTTAATGTTTTTAGTTTTTGCTCTAGGGCGTGTGTACTCACCAGAGATGGAGGTTGCGAGGGAGTAAGAAATCACCCCCTCAGGAAGGATGGCCAGGCCCAATCCCTTTTCCTCCATTCTCCCTCTCAAGATTTTGGGTGTATACATACATATACCTGGCATATTTTTGAAACCGCTGGGTCTGGGGCTTGAACCATGCAGTTGGCCATGTGAGATCCAGTCACCTTAACCACCACACTACCTACTAGTCCCATTAGATGCCCCCCCCTTTTTTTTTAAAGAGAAATTTTTGCTATAGGGTATGTGCACTCGACAGAAAGACAGAAGGCAAGATACAACACCCCTCCCCCGCCCCCCAGGGTGATGACCACGCTGCAATCCCTTCTCCTCCATTCTCCTCTCAGGATTTTGGCCATGCACGTACACATGCCTGGCATGAGTTTAAGCCACTGGCTGTAGGACTCTGTGGTAGACTACATGGGAGTTCAGCAATGTAACCATTATGCCATCTTCTGGTCCCTAGATTGATTTTAAAGTGGTTCATAAATAAAAATGTCTTGAGAAATACTGAATATTTAGTTTTTCATTTTAATTACTACTTTTAGTTTATATATTTTTCAGTTTTAGATGTTTTTATTTTTTCCTTCTAAATAGTCCCATAGTCACCCCTCACAGGAAATTTACCTTTTTAATTCTTGGGGGGGCAGGAGATTATCTTTTGTTTATTTATTTATTTTTTTTGAGAGGTTTTTGCTATAGGGCGCGTGTGCTCGCCAGACAGACAGAGAGATAGAAAGCTAGAATCACCACCTCAGGGGGGATGGCCACACCGCAATCCCTTCTCCTCCATTCTCCTCTCGGGATCTTGGGCACACACGCACATGTGCCCGACGTGAGTTTAAGTCACTGGGTCCAGGACGCGAGCCGCAGGCGACTACATGGGAGTTCAGCGATGTAGCCATTACGCTAACTGCTGGTCCCATGTTTTGTTTCTTAGAATGTGGCATGGTGCCCTATGCATAGACACATTAATAAATATAGTCATGTGCAGTGTCTCAATGTTTTGGTCAACAGTGGACCAAATATATGACAGTGATGCCATAACGTCATACAATATAACCTGGGTATGTAGTAGTCTGTGTCACTGAGGAGTACATAAGCATATTCCATGACACACACTGACAAAATCACCTGATTACTCATTTCTTAGAAATATCTTACTCTTTTTGTGTAGCAGTACATGGATTATGTGTGTTGACCATATACCTTTAACATTTTGTGAAGCCTGTTCTTTTTCTTCTTTAGTACAATACTCACAGCTTCTTAATGAAAATTCAGAAATAAGTAGTTGTAAGTAGCCTAAAATCTTAAAGCCATTTTTTTAAAAGAGATTTTTGCAATAGGGCGCTTATGCTCATCAGAGAGACAGAAAACAAGATCTCCATTCTTCTTGGGATCTTGAGCATGCACGCACACATGCCCAGTGTGAGTTTTAAGCTGCCAGGTCTGAGACTCAAACTGCAGCTGACTATGTGGGAGGTAGGCAACATAACCATTATGCCATCTCCTGGTCCCTTAAAGCCATTTTTTAACTGAGTGTTGTAGTGAAACTTTCCAACAGAAATATTGAGTAAATTTCTTTACAGCTTATATTCATCAATTACTTCCATGATCCTCAAAACAAGTACAAAGGTAAAAGAGCCGTCAGTTCTATATTTAAAAATGAGCTAATTACTGATCCAGTGGCTGTGTAGTAACATATGAGAACAACCTTCCACTTCACTTTAGATTTTATATTGATAAAAATTACAAACCATATAGAGGAGTGGTTAGGGAATGACAGCCGACCATTGTTACTTAAGTGTGCCATTATCCATTCCCTTATGTGTCCACTTCTATTTTTTAGGGATATTTGAGTCTTTTGGTAAAATTGAGACTTTAAAGCTAGGCATATGCCCATTACCTTCATTCCTAGTTGTAAAGTTTAATAACAACACAAAAGCTTTTCTTTCTTTTTTGCGATAGGGTGCATGCGCTCACCAGAGACAGACAGAGAGACAGAAAGCGAGAAATCACCCCCCAGGGGGATGGCCACGCCGCAGTCCCTTCTCCTCCTTTCTCCTCTCGGGATCTTGGGCACGCACGCGCGTCCCGCGTGAGTTTTAAGCCACTGCGTCCAGGACGTGAGCCGCTGTTGACTACATGGGAGTCCAGCAACATAGCCATTACACTAACTGCTGGTCCCACAAAAACATTTTATTTTTTAAAATAATTACTTATTTTTTATTTATTCATTCATTTTATTTTTTTTTAATTTGACCAGAGAGAGACAGAGGGTGAGAGTGAGAGAGAGGAAGTGAGAAAACAAGCCACCAGATTCAGGACTCGAACCCTGGTCAGCCACGTGGGAGTGTCTAGCACCTTAACCACCATGCCACCTGCTGGTCCCGCACAAAAGCATTTTTTTAAGTGCATCTTTAAACATGTATTTGTGTGTGTACACACACACACACACACACACACACACACACACACGTATATCTGTCAAACCTTATCTAGGCTTTCGTTATTTCTTCCATGAGAGAGAGACAGGTACCCCCAACAGTCTTCACATTGTAGTCCTTCCCCAGCCCACCTGGATCACAGGCCTGGTGGGCACAGGGAGGCCCTAGGACACAAACCTGGGACCACCTCACACAGGTTCATTTGCATTTTCACTGTACTACCACCTGGCCCCAGCAAGGGGACCTTCAAGCATAGAAATTTAAAGTGATTTTTTTTTTTTTATAAGAATGTATTTATGGGTCCTTTCTGTGATCCTATATATATGTGTGTGTGTGTGTGTGTGTGTGTGTGTGTGTATAATCAGTCAAGGGGCCAGCCCTGTAACACAGCAGTAGTGCACTGTTAAAGTTAGATCCCACATGACAGCTGCAATTTGAATCCCTGACTTGGTTATTCTAAATGTGCCCAGCACATATGCAGGTGCCCAGGACCCAATAGGCTGGAGGACTTGAGAAAGGCATGACCTGATCCTGTGGATGTTACTCTTCTCTTTCTCTTTCTCATGCATGTACACATACATGAATAAAGGAAAAATATTTAGGGAAAAAAGGTAGTTCTAAGTATGATGCTTAAAATCACTTAATATCAATCTTAAGTGTTGTGTGCCTGGAACATGCAGATATTACCTATATTAAAGTTTTTAATACTAACAACAGTCCTTTAAGATAATGAGCACTGCCAGCATTTTTTTTTTTTTTTCGCTATAGGGTGCATGCACTCAGACAAAAAAACAAGAAATCACCCCCCAAGAGGGGATGGCCACACTGCAGTCCCTTCCCCCTCATCCCTCTCTTGGGATTTGGGGCATGTACATGTCCAGCATGAGTTTCAATTGCTGGATCTGGGATTCGACTGTGGTTGGCCATGTGGGAGTCCAGCGATGCAACCGTTATGCCATCTGCTGGTCCCAGTACCACCACTATTACTGTTACTGTTAGTTACTATAGCTCCTGCTTTTCTTTTTCAGTATGTATTTCCATTATCTGTTTTTTTAATTAAAAAGAATGCTCACTAGACAGACATAGACAGTGAGAGGGAAAGTGAGAAATCATCCCCTGGGGTAATGGCCATGCCGTGATCCTTTCTTCTCCCTTCTCCTCTCAGGAACTTGGGTGTGCACACACACATGCCCAGTGTGAGTTTCAAGCCACTAGGTCTGGGACTCAAACTACAATCAGCCATACCAGAGTCCAGCAGTGTAACCTCTACACCATCTGTTGGCCCCCCCCCATTATCAGTTTTTAAAAGTCAGCATTTTGGGGCCCAGCCTGGTGGTGCAGTCAGTAGCAAACTGAACTGTAAAGCTGGAATGCACATGGCTGCTTGTGGGTTTGGATCCCCAAATTGACTTGAAAATCCAGTGGATGCCCAAGATCTAACAAGCAGGAGAGCAAGAGGGATGGCAGCCTGAAAGGACCTCATCGAGGATACTTCTCTTGCTCTTGTTCACTGTCTCTCTCTCTCTCATGCATGCAAACACTATCGTGAAGAAAATAAACAAAGATATAAGATGATAAAAATATTTTTTGTTTTGTTTTTCACTTTGGCACGTTATACCACCATGTCTGACAAACTCAACTCAGCTAGTAGAAAAAGAGGATGGAAATTATGCTTAATATTCTGATTTTTGTCTTTTAGAAATTGGAGATATTGCTGGTGTTGCTGATGTTACAATCAGACAGTCCTACAGACTGATCTATCCTCGAGCTCCAGATCTGTTTCCTACAGACTTCAAATTTGACACCCCAGTGGACAAACTACCACAACTATAAATTGAGTCGGCTAATATGAAACTAATGAACACAGAACTTTGCCTGTTGTATATAGCCATACAAAGTGCTGGGCTGAGCCTTTGATGAAGAAAAACACAAGACATGGTACGCATTCCAGGGCTAAATATTATTGCTTGGCGTTCTGTATGTATATACTAGTAAAGCATATTTAATGATTTAAATTTCTTATTGAATTTGCTTTCTTTTGTAGCAATCTAGGAAACTGTATTTTGAAAATATTTGAAATTATGTAATTCTTGAATAAAACATTTTTCAAACTAAACTTTTTGTTATAATTACATGTTCTATGTAATTTATAATATATAATTGCAAATAATGCATATTGTTACAGCTAGTAAAGCTGATAGAGGTCCTTGTTTCCCATTTTTCTTTTATATATTTTTTGGAGGTTTTTTTATCTTAATAAAGTCACAAAAATAGCAAACGCTTTTGAGAATCATTATTAACAGCATATTTAGTTTGCAGTTTCAGAGGATGTGTATGTGTATGTATGTATGTGGGGCCAGCCGATGACATGGTGGTTAAGGCAGCTGGTTCCCACAAGGCCAACTACGTGGTTGGAGTCCCAGACCTGGTGGCTTGGAAGAAACATGGTGAGGGGATCAGCAGGTGGCATAGTGGTTAAGGTGCTAGATTCGCACATGTCTGACTACAGATCAAGTCCTGACACAGAGGCCTGAAACTCATCCCAGGCCCATGTGCCTACATACTCTAAAGCTCAAGAGGCGACTGGAGGGGACATGATTGCAGTGTGGCCATCTCCCCCAGGAGATGATTTCTCTCATTTTGTCTCTCTGATGAGCACATGCACCCTATTAGCAATCTAAAAAAACAAAAATAACATGATGGGCACGTGTGTATATGCTCAAAAACCTTTAGAGGAGAAGGGATTGTGGTGTGGCATTCCATCTCCCCTGGGAGGTGCTCGCCACCTTTCCCCCACTCCCTCGCTCTGTCTCTGCCTCCAGTGAGACAGAACAAAACAAAAAAAAACATTAACAAAGCAAGTGATGAGATGGGTCTCAAAAGGCACCAGCTTGAGAGATACTGAAATGTTTAAATGTGTGTGTGTTTTTTTTTTCCAGTGACCTTGAGCACCTAAGATACTGGTAAATAACAAATCAACAGCTTTTGGTTTGGGGATAACATTCCATTTTGTAGAATCAGAATATCAGCAATTCTTTCATTCTTTGTTATGCTTATTGGATACTCAGTAAAGAACATTTAAAATTGTCCCTTGGAGTGTTCACGATTTTTTTTAAATGAGGAAGGAAGCTAAGTATTTTTTCCTCTTCCATGGTTCTCTTGCCTGGGTTAGTTACAGGCACATGCCCCCATGTGCTTCCTTCATTCGTGGTGGGAGCAAAACCAGGGCCTCCCACGTGGTCTCATGGTGCCTTACCACTTGAACCACTACAGCTGGACCCAGGAAGTTTTTAACTAGCACCCTAGGTGATTTGTGACATGTCTGCTGTTTTGTATGTCATTCTTTGAGGAACATCAAGGGTCTCTACTGCAAGATGTTGTAACAAGTCCAAGATTTTTGTTATTTTTATAGCTAGGTAGTTTGTACAGGTGACTGGGATCCATTCTAGATAGCGCCCCTGTAAACTGCACTGCTCTGAAAGCAGAGTTTACACATGTTCTTAGGCATGCATGAAGAGGTTAACCCTGGATTAGAAGGACAGTCTCCTGTTGTGGCCTGGTGGGCAGGTTCAGACTAGTCCATAGAGGGACTACCATTTAGAAGAGCAAACCTTGGAGCCAGCAGGTGGCATGGAGGTTGGGCGGCTGTGCAGTCTGGGTACCTGGCAGTTTGAGAAACATGACTAGTGTGTGGGTGTGTGTGCCCAGAATCTGAGAAGGGAGAAGAGATTGCGGTGTGGCTGACCTCCCTAGGGGGCGATTTCTCACTCCCCTACCCTCACCCTAATGAGTGCACCCCTCTATAGCAAACTATAAAGAAAAATTCCAGTTATTCTGGCCATAGAAGTGGAATGGTATTTCTCTCTTGAACGAAACCTAGCATGCTTGCACGGTGGCTGCTCAGAGGTAGGGAGGTCACCAGCGAGCCAAATACGAGGATACTGAAATCCACATACGGTGTTGCAAAGCTAGTGATGACATTATCCTCCAAGCAGGTAGAACTCATCCCACCCAGAGAGCCCAGGAAGAAGCACTCTCAGACCCCTGTCTCCCTCCCAGACACGGCTTTGGTCCCCCAGTACGTTGCGTCCCCAAATGGGCCAGAAGCAGCAGTGGTGCTCTAGTGCTCCTCAGGTTCTAGTGACCCGAGGTGAAGACTGCGCGTGACCATGTAACTAACTAGATTCTAAAACAGTTAAATTTGCAATATCAGAGTTCAGTGCAGATATGCTGTAGAACATTTGGAAAACACATAACGAAGTGCTTGTAAGACGTCTAGAAATTAGTATATTTTTCTTTCAGCTGTTTATTAAAATATAGTTGATTTAGGTGTCATGACTTTAGTCGTCACTTACCTGGTTAAAACATACTCAGGGTAAACTCCATTGTGCTGCTTCAGAGAAGTCAGATCCCATAGGTGACTGAGGTTCAAATCCCTGGTCTGGTCAGCCAGACATATGGCAAGCACAAGACTGGCCAGGATCCAGTGGGCTGGAGGAAGGCGATCACAGTGTTAGCAGACCCTGTGGAGGATGCTTCTCTCTCAGTGTGTGCACACACTACAATGACTTTTTTAAAAAGGTTTAATTAAGGGGCCGGCAAGTGGCATGGTGGTTAAAGGTACTGGACTCCCACATGGCCAATCACGGTTCAAGTCTCGGACCTGGTGGCTTGCTTTCTCACTTCCTCTCTCTCTCTCTGTCTCTCTGATCAAACTGAAAAATGATGATGATAATAAAGTTAAATAAAATAATTCTTTTAAAAAAAAGGTTAAATTAAATAGGTGACTAAAAAAACTGAACACAAAGGGAAAATAAAAATCTAGTCTCTAGGCCAACCCCATTGCCTAGTGGGTAAGAGACTGGATCTCATGACCAACGAGTTCAAATCCCAACCCCAACCTCTTGAAAACTGGGTATGTGTGCATACATGATCAAAATCCTGGCAGTATTTAGAGAAATAGAGACGGGGTTGTGGTGTGACTGCCCCACCGAGGGGCGCCTGCTCTCTCTGGCAAGCACATGCACCCTCTAAGAAAACAAAATCTAGCTCCTGTTGCTCACGTCAACATCTGCCTGTTTTTTTTTTTTTTTTTTTTTTTTTTTTTGTTTTTTTAGCTGGACCCAGGAAGTTTTTAACTAGCACCCTAGGTGATTTGTGACATGTCTGCTGTTTTGTATGTCATTCTTTGAGGAACATCAAGGGTCTCTACTGCAAGATGTTGTAACAAGTCCAAGATTTTTGTTATTTTTATAGCTAGGTAGTTTGTACAGGTGACTGGGATCCATTCTAGATAGCGCCCCTGTAAACTGCACTGCTCTGAAAGCAGAGTTTACACATGTTCTTAGGCATGCATGAAGAGGTTAACCCTGGATTAGAAGGACAGTCTCCTGTTGTGGCCTGGTGGGCAGGTTCAGACTAGTCCATAGAGGGACTACCATTTAGAAGAGCAAACCTTGGAGCCAGCAGGTGGCATGGAGGTTGGGCGGCTGTGCAGTCTGGGTACCTGGCAGTTTGAGAAACATGACTAGTGTGTGGGTGTGTGTGCCCAGAATCTGAGAAGGGAGAAGAGATTGCGGTGTGGCTGACCTCCCTAGGGGGCGATTTCTCACTCCCCTACCCTCACCCTAATGAGTGCACCCCTCTATAGCAAACTATAAAGAAAAATTCCAGTTATTCTGGCCATAGAAGTGGAATGGTATTTCTCTCTTGAACGAAACCTAGCATGCTTGCACGGTGGCTGCTCAGAGGTAGGGAGGTCACCAGCGAGCCAAATACGAGGATACTGAAATCCACATACGGTGTTGCAAAGCTAGTGATGACATTATCCTCCAAGCAGGTAGAACTCATCCCACCCAGAGAGCCCAGGAAGAAGCACTCTCAGACCCCTGTCTCCCTCCCAGACACGGCTTTGGTCCCCCAGTACGTTGCGTCCCCAAATGGGCCAGAAGCAGCAGTGGTGCTCTAGTGCTCCTCAGGTTCTAGTGACCCGAGGTGAAGACTGCGCGTGACCATGTAACTAACTAGATTCTAAAACAGTTAAATTTGCAATATCAGAGTTCAGTGCAGATATGCTGTAGAACATTTGGAAAACACATAACGAAGTGCTTGTAAGACGTCTAGAAATTAGTATATTTTTCTTTCAGCTGTTTATTAAAATATAGTTGATTTAGGTGTCATGACTTTAGTCGTCACTTACCTGGTTAAAACATACTCAGGGTAAACTCCATTGTGCTGCTTCAGAGAAGTCAGATCCCATAGGTGACTGAGGTTCAAATCCCTGGTCTGGTCAGCCAGACATATGGCAAGCACAAGACTGGCCAGGATCCAGTGGGCTGGAGGAAGGCGATCACAGTGTTAGCAGACCCTGTGGAGGATGCTTCTCTCTCAGTGTGTGCACACACTACAATGACTTTTTTAAAAAGGTTTAATTAAGGGGCCGGCAAGTGGCATGGTGGTTAAAGGTACTGGACTCCCACATGGCCAATCACGGTTCAAGTCTCGGACCTGGTGGCTTGCTTTCTCACTTCCTCTCTCTCTCTCTGTCTCTCTGATCAAACTGAAAAATGATGATGATAATAAAGTTAAATAAAATAATTCTTTTAAAAAAAAGGTTAAATTAAATAGGTGACTAAAAAAACTGAACACAAAGGGAAAATAAAAATCTAGTCTCTAGGCCAACCCCATTGCCTAGTGGGTAAGAGACTGGATCTCATGACCAACGAGTTCAAATCCCAACCCCAACCTCTTGAAAACTGGGTATGTGTGCATACATGATCAAAATCCTGGCAGTATTTAGAGAAATAGAGACGGGGTTGTGGTGTGACTGCCCCACCGAGGGGCGCCTGCTCTCTCTGGCAAGCACATGCACCCTCTAAGAAAACAAAATCTAGCTCCTGTTGCTCACGTCAACATCTGCCTGTTTTTTTTTTTTTTTTTTTTTTGGTTGGTTGTTTCCTACATATGTGTAAATTCTAGAAATTTGTAAATGTTCTCTTAGAGCAAGAGAACTGATGTTAATTTGAGGATAGAGGGAATGTTTCCCTTTTGGATGGAGCTTATATTCTTGCAGATATTTCTTAAAACAGAATTAAAATGCTAGTTTGTCTAAATTCTCCCTAAGCTTCCCCTATGATTAAATTTCACTTTAGATATTGGAGCACGACTATGTAACCTTTTTTTTTTTTTTTAAAGAGAAATTTTTTTGCTACAGCCTGTGTGCACTTGCCAGAGAGACAGAGACAGAGAGACAGAAAGTGAGAAATTATCCACCAGAGG